CAGCAACACGAAAGCGAAGAACAAGTGTTACGTAGGGGGGGGAGGGGGCGAGAGGAGGGGAAGGGGGGGGGGGGAGTAATGTAAAACACAGAATCCAGTTGGTCTCGCCTAACGAGCGCAAATTAATACGTATAAGACAAGGTATAAATTATAATTTCCTAAATTATCGACTTCAATAACTGAAAAATCTTTGCGCATGCACATACTTTATTAATACTAATAATTTAGAAAATACACTATTTGACTCCTATATGTTACTTGTTTGTACTTTTCTCTATTAGGAGTTGTGGTTTTTTTAGCTTCTTGCACCGTACGTAGCTATGGATAAAACAAAATAGAGTCATGTGACTTCGGAATTATTTAATTTAAATACAACACATGGATTGAAAATTAATTTCACAAAATTTTACCAATTCAACCCAATATTGGTGAAATTATTTCACTGCACTAGTTTAATTTTATCTGTATCTTGAGTCGGGATAAAACAAAAAAATTTTTTACTAGAACGCAGGAAGTGATTTCATAATCAAAATTTCGATTTAATGTTTTCTAAAATTTCACGTTACAATGGAAGTTGCGCTTGGATTTTTTCTGCAAACAAATTAGTTTGCATAATTTATTTTATTTGCATATACTTTATTACTAAATTTATGATATATAAACCAGTGGAGAAAAGATTAATTACATACCTTATGCCTAATACTGCATGAAACATTGTACTGTGCATTAACAAATTTTCTATATAAGTTGCTGGAGTTTTCCAGCTCTACTTAAATTTTTTGAACCATATTATTAAACAGTTTTAAACAATTATTTTATAAAACATAATTTACAGTATAAAGCAATGAACAATCAAATTTTAAAGTTAGTTTTTTCTTTCGTGCTTACTAGCATTCACTATTTTTATTGATGCTCATCCTTATAAAAATGATGTTAAATATTGTTGTGGAACTCCGGGTCAAAGTCCAGGATGGAAAAACTCGTTTCATCGCCTCACGTATGCATATGCTGCTCAAAGGGATGACATTACCACTGACCGCAATTGTTGTGAAGAATGTGTTAAGAACTCTGATTGCATAGGATGGGTTTATACGGACAATGTATGTCTTTTTGGCGTCAATAGAAAACCTTTACCCGATATTTGCACTTATCCTACATTTAGTGAAACAAATAATACACTTCTTAAAACTACTCCTTGGAAAGCCGCCGGAGTTATTCGTTGTCGTGATGGCTGTAATCTTCCTCCAACAAAACCTTCCTCATAAGCATTTTCCTATAATTAATAGTAGTGCTTAACCAGCTCAATCATAAATTTTATTAATTATTTTAAAATTCCATGTATGTTTATAGAATGAATTTAATAGATAAAATAATTGTTTGTTAAAATCTTTTATTATCATGTATTTTCTTTCTAATATTTGTCATTTGATATACAAATTTATTCCTCGCAAAGAGAAAAATAAATGTTATTTTTAGAGTTATCAGAATATCAAAATAATTCGAGTTTTATTAATTATTCTTTCAGATAATTGAATTATCCGGTTATCTATCTTCGTATAATATATGATCCTTCATACAATGTGTACTGTACAAGGTTGTGCTCCGGATAATCATGTGATATTTCGGATAATCACTCCGGAAGGTATTTTCAATTACTTGTGAATTTAATTTTTATCTTTTTAGGAAAAACTTTTAAGGTATAGTACAACGAACCCCTATATATCAAGTTCTGAATAAACGAACTAAAAATGTTAAAATTTTTATTTTATTTTTTTTTTTTAATGTTTAAATTTTAATTAGTTCAGTATAAAGAGTTATAGTTTCTTAAAATAAACATAGTAATTTATATAATTTACATCAGCTCGTTATAGAAAAGGTCAACCGTAATTGAAGCTCTTATATTTTGCGTGCACTCAAAGGCTTGCATTGTTTATAACCATTTTATCCTTTATTTACTTTACCAATATTTGCGTACATTCATAACGACTAGCATATTTTCTTTATCTTATACTTTATTCACTTCGCATCGATACAGTTTTACCATAGAATTTCGCTAATAAAGAAGCAACTGCATTAATAGGGTAATTCATGTGTGCCGTATAAATTTTTTTTTGATATTTCTAAGTATTAATCAACCATTAAAGTCTTCTTTAGTGCTAATGTCCACATGTAAATTCGTGTTGATTGTTATTTATTGGCACGAGCTTAATATAATTTTTTATATTGTGTTCATAGATATAATGAGCTTACTAATAGACTCTCGATATAGTGAAGAAAATCTCTCAACCCGATCACATCACTATAACGAGAATGACTTGTATTTTAAAGGCCAATTCTTTTCTTTATTAATTCACCTCATATTTCACTTCAAATTTTGGCTATATATTTCGCTTCACATTTCATTTCACACTTCGCTTCACATTTCGTTTCACATTTCGCTTCATATAGATAAAAAAAATAATAAGATAAAATAATAAAAATTACTTGCTGGTATTGCAAACTTTAAGAAAGAATACGAAAAGGCTGAATCTTGATCGTCGGGCAAACTGGCTTCTTATCTCTATCAACGGAATTCTACTGTAAAGGGCGAATCATTTCGAAGTGGAGCAAAAATTCGTGCACAACTAGCATCAGTACAACAAAGAAAACGTAGGATTTCTCAAGAAAATATCAACCTAACCATTATGAGGAAATTGACAGGGCTTAGGATCGATTTTCCGATCACGTGATAACGTCGGAAAACTTGGAATTTTTGTTTACGTTAAGGTTTTGGTTTGATGGAAGTTCATTTTAGAGTTACAAAGTTTTACTTAGAGCACAGAAGGTGGTTAATTAGGTTAAATTCTGAGATATTATCGATTTTTTCAAAAAGAGCGTTTGTTTTTGATTTTTTTACGTTACACCTGATCGTGACTTCTCATTGGCTAATTTTAGCTCGGGAAAATCACGTGATCGGAAAATCGATCCTACGCCCTGGCGTTGTTCCATAATGAGGCACGTAAAAAAGGTAAACTTCCAAAAAATTCATAATTTATCTAAAAACATTAACGCGAATAAACAAAATTAATCATGTAAAAGTTAAACTTTCATAAATGTATACGAGTACATAATCAATGAAAAGAAATATATGTAATTAATCGTGTGCTAAATCAAACTTATGGTGTTATGTGTAGAAATGACAATGACTTTTAATTTTTCTTTATTTAGTTTACTACGCACATTATTGTTACTTAATATTATCTTTTTATTTTGGGCAAATCGATAGGATCGACAAAGCACAGTTAGGTAGAATTGACCCCGTACGAAGGTTAATTGCTCACAACGAAGATTAACAAGGGTAATTAACCCTCGGAAGGTGTTAAATGCAACCTATGAGGGTTAATAATTCCGTTATGACTAAGAAGGTATATAAAGGAAGGGGTTCTGGTTAATAAAGGGAAAACGTTCGCTGAATTCGGGTTGTTTATAAGAAAATATGGTTTGTTATTTATTAATAACTTAGTATGTGATTTAAAAGAATAGGATATGGGCTATTAATTTTGAATGTTAGTAATATATAGCGAAATTTGTTGCCGTGTTTATCTTATTATGAAAGTGCACATAAGATGTAGGTATATTAGTAGAAATGTTTTTAGTGTTAGCATGTGACACTCATGTGTATTAATTAAAGTTTATAGATTATCTAGTAGAATGTTTCTATGTACAATCTTTCGGGTTATTTACAGAGAGTGAAATATATAGTAGTTTTATGTGTTTAGAGGATTTACATAGAGCGTGCAGTTGTAAAGAATTCATTTAGATAGGTTTTACTGTTTGAATCGGTGTTAATTGAAAAGCTTATTATATTATATATGATTAGATTTATATTTAAGTGTATTTGGTAATACTATAATGGATTTTTAGTACGGGTTTTATATATATATATAATGTTTTTAATTTTTTTCTTCTTTTTCTTTTTTTTTTTTTTTTTACCAAATTTTACAGTTTTTTTTTAAAGGTGTTAAAGGTGCCTGGGAATATTATATAGTATATTAGTCTAATTTTGATTTAAAATTAGATTCTTAAATGCAAATGTTTTGAGGTTTTTAATCTGTAGTTTAAAATTAGAGAGTGGAACAGTTACCGAAAATTGGGTAATGTTTAAGCTAAATTGTATTGTATTTAATTTATTTTTACCAAATTTTATTATTATACATTTCGTTTTTTATACTGTACGTTTGTTTAATAATAAGAGATGTACCAAGAACGGATGATGAGTGTCACGAAGTAATGATGCTTCACAAAATCTTACAATTGATTGAGTGTTATATTGTTTTGTGTAAAGTTTTAGTGCAGATTTGATTTTTCATATGTAACTTTTTCACCGGGTTTGTGTATTTAATTGTGTTTAAAGATGGGAATACATTTGATAATTTCATGTTAATGTGAGAATATCTAGTGCATTAGCGGGGGTTTTTTTAAAAAAAAAATTGTAATGAAGAGCTTGTTAACAAATAAAGAAACTGTTTTTGGTAATCAGTGCATTTAAAAGCTGTTGTTCAGTAGTGAGAGATTATTTTTCTCTTTATTATTGCTTATTTTGCAGTTAAGGCACTTGGTTTAATAAGCTAAATGGTAATGGTTAAGCTCCGCGGCTGAAATAACAGAACCTCACTTGGTGGTAGTTAGGCTCTACAGTTGTAGTAATGGTGCAAGGATCTCGTTTGGTGGTAATTAGGCCCCGCGGATATAGTAACAATGCAAAAACCTTCATAAGATAGTTTTGGGTTTTGCAACTGCAACAACCATTTTGTTGAACTTTATCGCTTCATGAATACATAATAATTGATTCTCTTTGAAGCTACATGGATCTTTTCTTGACGATCTGCTCCGTATGCTTAGATATTATAGTTTGGTTAGAGATTATAAGTTTTTTGTAGGCGTAGTAATTTCAATACTTTAAGAATGGGTTTATAGCCGGTTAGTCCGAATGGCTAGTGATGTGCTGTTTATATGATAGCCCAATTTTTTTCGCGTACAGTACGTACAGTACGTACAGTACATACAGTAATATATAGTATATA